GATTTTACACTGTCAAGCCTTAGAAACCCTAGCTTGAAACTTCTCAAACTCTTCAATCATGACGAGTTGGACTTGGAATCATACTTATAGCATTTAAATGCATCAATCCATGATCACATGGCTCTTGGATTAGGTCTCAACCCTCTCCAAATCATCAGTTGACCTAGGGTTGACCCAGTCAAACCCTAATTGCATCAATCATGGCTGAGTCTTCTTAATCTTGCACACTGACCTATCTAGGCCTCATGATGGCTTTCAAGACATCTCATAAGCTCTCTCAAGGCTTCAAGTCCACATTCCTGGCTTCAGAATCATCTGAGGAGCTCCCACAACTCTCAAGTTAAGAGGCACACACTCTTGGTTTCAGCCACTCTCTCTGGGGATCTTTTAACTTCTCTGACAAGGATATCAACCCTTGAACACTTGAATAAGCTTCTTAGATAGCCTCAAAGTCTTACATAGATCTTGATTGGTAATCATACCTCTTGATCTCCTGCACACATGTCAATGAAATGCAAATGATAATGCTAATGTGAATGCAATAAAACATAAGCTAGGTAAAGAAATGTTGGGCAAATTTTGGGGTGCAACAACTACTAACGTGGCTCTGTGTTATAGAAAATCAGTTGAATATAATTTAGTAGGTTTCTGTGATGCTGATTTTGCTGAAGACAGAGTTGAACGCAAGAGCACATCTAGAAGCTGTCAGAAAATCTGATCCTTGTTACAGCAAGAAGCAACTCAAAATAGCACTCTCTACTGTAGAAGCAGAATATGTTGTTGCTGCTTGTTGAAGTATCCGATGCTCTGGATGAAGAATCAGCTGGAGAACTATCATATGCATAAGAATGAAGAATCATAACACATTTTTCGCACATTAGCTTCTATTGGTGTCAAAGATGCTCTTCTAAAGATCTGAGCAAATATGAAGTCGTAGATCATCTAAAGATTTGAATTATCTGAAGATATAGATAAAAGCAACCATATGATGCAAATCCCTCTGAACCTTTTCCTCTGTCCTTTCAACACATCACCTCTGAGCACTATTCACTTCTCTGAGTATGTTCATGTTGGTGAACCTTCATCCTCTGGAGTTTGAGCCTTTTTGGAACGTCTTTCAGAAGTGGTTGAACTTTGAATCTGGACGCTTTTCAAGTCACTAGAAGCTGAAGTTCAATTGGTTAAGGAAAGAGAAGACAAGGTAGAAAGGATAAGAAACTTCAAACTTCTTGCTTAGAAGCAAAGAGAAGCTGAAGAAAAAGCGAGAATTTTAGCATAGGAAGATTCCGGAAAAGAAACGGTCAGATTGACACAAGAAGCTGTAGATGCTGAGAAGGCTAAGCAAGTTGTTATAGATGGTTCTTCTTCTGAAACTACTTTTGTACGTTGAGAACGTGACGATAGTGAGATTCAAGAAGATCAACAAGCTATGAAGAAAGAACAATAAGCTTTCAGAGAAAGCTTTGCTGAACAGAAAATTGTCAACAACTCTCTTCTGTGCATGCTTCAACAAATTCTGGAAAAGTTGTCAACCTACAAGAAGTAGGTACTCAGGTTTTATTTCTTGACTCTATTAATTTAATTTTTTTTAATTCTGATATAAAAGAGGGAGAAATAGAATATATTTTAAATCTTATTTTTAATGAAAACTTACCTTTTTTGATGATGTAAAAAAGGGGAAGAAATAGAATATGATTTTGATATAATTTGAAGAAATAGAATATAATCTGATATAACCTAAAGAGAATGCAAAACATCAACTCTGATATAAACTGCGTTTATTACTAACTGTACGTTTGATGTTTTACCGAGGAACTCTGAACAAGTTCACTAAGCATTCTAAAGACATGTCAAATGAAAGAACTCTGAGTTCAAATGAACTGGTTGTTCATATAATCGAAGTTATACACTTCGTGAACATATGTTCAGAATCAGATGAACCCAATATTGTTCAAGAGAAAGTTAAAGTCATCTTGATTTTGGTATCATAATGTTTAGAAGATGTAAACTATCTGTGAATATGATAATCAGAGCATAAGAATCAGAAATCTTCATAAAAGCAAGAATTGGTCTCAGACTCAGAATCAAGAACTAGTATCAGATTTAGGGGGAGTTCTGAAGATCTAAATATCTGACCTATTGTAGACAGGGGGAGTTCACCCAGAAAGTTTCACAAATGTGCAAATGCTCTAGAAGACTCTGAAGATATACGGCTCTGATACGATGTTTAGAGAAAACAAGTTCTAAATATCTGAAGATGGAAGTTCTGCTGAACTAGTCCAGATGCTAAAGACTTATGCTCTCTTATATCATAGTGAAGTATTCCTTATCTTCAATTTATTTATTTTTGTTTTTTAAATATTTCTATTTTGTGAGTGTTGGGATCAGAGAAAGTCTCTGAACAAGCATAAAAAGAATTTTTAAGGTTAACACATTCAGGGGGAGTTGTTGCTTGAAACTCTGAATATGTTAATGCTTGGTGATTACCCTGTATAAAATGTTCTATCAAAATACATGTTTTTGTCATCATCAAAAAGGGGGAGATTGTAAGAGCATGAATTGTCTCTACATGTTATCTCTATGTTTTGATGATAACAATTAAGTATTTGTGAAAGAACCATTTTATGTTCTAATGTTTGTTGTGTGCATATCGTTAAATAAAGATATCAAATCAACAAACAATATCAAGAAGTGCATTAAATACAATATGGAGTTACTTTGTGTGACGTGACATAAAGCGCTTATTAAAGAAGCAAGTTTGCCTCTGTATCTGTTCATAATCAGAAAGATCCAAGGATGTTGGATATTGCTGTTGCAATGCTCTTGTTGATTCTGTTCTGTGACGTGCATCTGATCTGAAAGCAAACAAAGCTTATTGAAGAAGCTAGTATAGCTCTGTATCTGATCACAATCAGAAAAATCCAAAGATGTTGTATATTGCAGTTGCAATGCTCTTATGGATTCTGCTCTGAGAAGTGTATCTGATCTGGAAGCTATCAATGCATCTGAGATATAGTCCCCTGAAGAACCAAGCTCTGAAGACTCTGATGACTTGAAGCTCTGAAGGCTGAATGCTCTGAAGACCAAGTGCAGAAAGACTATGAAGACTTAAGGGTTCTGAAGATCAAGACTCTGAAGATATAATCCTCTGAAGAATTACATACTGAAGACTCTGATGACCTGAAGCTCTGAAGGCTGAAGGCTCTGAAGACCAAGTGCAGAAAGACTCTGAAGACTAGATTCTGAAGTTGAAGATTATGTAGCTTCACCCAGATAAAAACGTGTTAATCAGATAAGTTGTTGATATCAACTCTGATAAACAAGGTGCTGAAGTCAGACTCTGATGTTATTACGCTATCATACCAAAGTAGTTTCTGAACTACTCATCAGATACATTATCAGAAGAAACAAAGCCAGAAGCTAATCTGTCCAAGCTGATAAATGAAGATCACATCATTGGTGGATAAGACATCAGGCAAGTCTTCAAATTTAAATAAGTGATTTCTTCACGTAATCTTTCTAAGACATCAGGCAAATCTAGCAAGTCAGAAATGTCAATTCTGAAACTGTTAATGCAACACATATGTTCGTCTTGAAGTTTTGAAAATAGATATCGCGATAACTTTTGACAAAATCACTAGTTAGGATATTAATTTATACTTTATGATGCCAACGTCAAATTGAGCATAGCTCATAGGAGTCAGGAAACGGTATCTCATCGAGTATGCTTTCGGACTAGACCTTACTTCAATTAGGACTTTATGGGTTATATATATGGGTTTAGTTTATGATTTGTAAAACAGAGGAATAAAGGTCAAATTATATTTGTGCCCACCCAATTTTTGGAAGGTGTTTATTTTTGATGATACCCTGCCCCCAGGTTAAAACGAGGTTTTGGTTTGGGAGAGAAAAGAACAGATCCTTTCTCAAGGCTTAAAAGAAGGGTTGACTACTTCTGGTGTTTTAGGAGGTTCGAAACATATGCTTTACATCATCAGTAGGGTTTAAAAGCATACAATGAGAGATCTTGCGTTTTACTTCACCATCCTCCCTCCAATTATTCACCAAAGTGAGAGAATTGGGTATAGTCGGCATTATAAATTGTGAGAAATGTTTTACGAGTGAAACAAATGGATTTCTTCAAGACAAACATTTTATTGCATTAATTATTCAAAATAAACAAGCCATGCAAGCCAAACATGCTTTTAATCAAAGAAATGAAATACACATAAGCAAACGAAAAGAAAACACCCTGATGAGCCCTTCTCAGGACTTTATTCAGTCTTTATATGGAATGGAGAAGCTTGCGGAATTGTCTGATATGTCGCCTTCGGATCCATTTTCAGGCACTATGTTGATATGAGCTTCCCGAACCATGCTGAGGTGGGGAATTATCTTGCACATAAGGAATGGAACCCTTAAAGGATAAAATTCCATCCTTCACCAACCTTTGTACGTCTGCCTTCAAGCCGTAACAGTTCTCAGTATCGTGGCCTGGAGCACCTTGATGGTATAGGCAAAATTTGTCAGCTTTGTACCAATATGGGAGTTTCTTGGGTACCTTAGGCGGAGCTCTCGTCTGGATGTGACCCTTTTGAATCAAAAATGGGAACAAGTCAGCGTATGTCATCGGGATGGGATCAAAGTCCGGTCTTTTGTGTACACGACTCTGATTTTGTTGATTTTGTTGATGTTGCGACTGATGAACCGCAACAACCTGATGTGGTGGCGGATACCCTCTCTTGGATCGTCCTTGCTGCACAACACTTGCCTCATGTTCTCTCTTTTTACAAAACCACTCCCATACTTTCGAGCATTATCGGGAGCACTCTCTTCCTTGACTAATCTTCCTTCGCGAACCCCCTCTTCCAAGCGCATCCCCATATTAACCATTTCGGTAAAGTCACTGTGTGCACTTGCTACCATTTTCTCATAAAAGAATGGACCAAGAGTCTTTAGAAAGATTTTGGTCATTTCCTTTTCTTCTAATGGCGGTTGACTTAGGCGGCTAACTCGCGCCAACACTGAGCGTATTCCTTGAAATTCTCTTTGTCTTTCTGGGCCATAGCCCTTAATTGGTCACGGTCAGGTGCCATGTCCATATTATACTTGTATTGCTTGATGAAGGCTCCTCCTAGATCATTGAAAGTCCGAATTTTCGCACTATCTAATCCCATATACCACCTGAGTGCAGCACCTGTCAAACTGTCTTGGAAATAGTGAATGGGTAGTTGATCATTGTCAGTTTGGGCAGACATTTTCCTGGCATACATAATAAGATGACTTTGAAGGCAAGTATTCCCCTTGTATTTCTCAAAATCAGGGACCTTGAACTTCAGCGGAACCTTGACATTTGGGACCAAACATAAGTCAGAAGCACTTTTTCCAAACAAATCCTTCCCACGAAGGGCTCTCAATTCTTTTTGCATCTCAGAAAATTGGCCTTGAAACCCATCCATCCTTTCTTCCAAACCCACAGTTTCACTGGGTACCCTATGGAAAATTGGTTCGTCTAGGATATGTGGAGTAATATTCACACGCGGAGGTGCACTAGTCATGACAACAGTAATTGCAGGAATAGCTTGGACGGTGGTCACGGCAGGGACCTCGGGGACAAGTGGACGATAACCGGCCGGAGTGAAATAAGGAGGCATCCCCCACGGGAAACCTGGCGGCATGCTGTAGGTTACTTCAGCAACAGTAGACACCACTGGGATCAGTGTTGATACTATTTCGGAGATAACGGTCCCTTGAACTTCTTGATTGTTGAGTGCAGACTGGTTAGACAGGTATTCAACTATACCATTCAACCTTTCCAGATTTTCTTTCAGAGTTGCAACTTCATCACGGAGTACTCTATTCTCTTGTTCAAGTTGATCCATCTTCTGGCGTTGACTAGCTCGAGTGTTGTATCGGTAATTCAGATTGTCTGTGAAGATGAAGCAAGAGTGAGACCCCCCGAAATGCAAAGGATGCTATGCTGATGCAAAATGCGAAATGCAAAAATGCAAGAATGCAAAACGAAATGTTTCATGGAACTCAAGTATTTATAAACGTCATGGAGTATCCAAAGAAAATTCATTTTTATTGGATTACAAGTGAATATTCTCATGAGAGTCCTAACATAAAAGCTAGTAAAAGTCCTAAGGAAGTTCTTCATCTTGCTTGTTGATCTGTTCTTCCACTTGGATCTTCTCGAAGGTAAGTTATCCATAACCAACGTCTAAAGATTAAATTGATAGAGGAAAATAAATCCTCTTCTTTTGTTCTTGTTGGAAAGTGAGGAATGAATCCCTTGTATTCTCGGACCTTTAATATTGGTGAAAGTCTTTTGAACTTAATTTGTTCTTTGATAATAAGGGAAATCTTTTGTATTTTTCCTTCTGAGTTTCTTGATTCAGCGCCTTTAATTTCCTTAGGTCACCCAAGTTAGGACTCTTAAAAGAATATTTCAAAATATTTTCTTTTGTAATCCCTATTGGTTTCTATAATGTTTATAAATAAACTAGGAATCCCATGAAACCTAATGCAACATGATGCTATATGGATGCAACAAACACAAGTATTCACATAAGGGCACAAAGATAAACAAACAAAAGAGAACCCTAGGTTTGCAACGAGCATGGAGCAAAGGTATACCCATTCCCAAAGGACATGGACTAAAGGTGGATTGTACCTGCAGAACAAGGTTCTAAGGGGACTCAAAGTCATTAGCCCATCTTTCGGATATTATCAATTTCCCAACTAACTCGAGGATTAATAATATTCTCAAGAGAACTTCTTTTGAGTGTAGCTTCGCGTAGCACTATTTCGGGAGTACTCCCTCATAGTCTCGCACTATGTCCTAATAAAGGCCAAAATAGGGTTAAAGGTAACTACGGTCCTTAGCATCATGGACTCCAATTGAAAGTAGTAAAAGTTTTCACGACTAAACTCGTTCAACCGAACTATTTTCGAAAGGGTCTCAACTAAGCGGGATTCTCGAGTCAACTTAGTCGGGACTCACTCCCTATAAGCCTCATCGAATATATCACCATCCTATCATAATTTCTCTCAAGTCCGGGTGTAGGACTTTGTCTCACAACTCAAGGATAATAGGCCAGAAGAAATAAAGAAACAATTATACAAATAAGCAAACAAGCAAAAATAAACAAGTTAGGGAAACCCACTAAGGGATCCCCAGTGAAGTCGCCATTTCTGTCACGGTGAGAATCAGATACCAAACTATTGATTAGTTTGAATCTTATTCATTTGCAACCGAACTTTGATTTGTCCAAAGGAAGGGATAAAGATCGAAATTCCCACAATGCAATGCAAATGCAAGCTAGAGAGTTTTAGGTTCGGGGGTCAGTTAAACTTAGGGAAGGTGCTAGCATCCTAAGTTTCTGTAGTATCCTACAGGAACCTCTTGTTTTATGTTTGTTTATTGCTAAGGTTTATCTGCTTAAAGGTTTAAAGACCTAGGGGGTTTATTTCTAAGTATACTCGATAAGATATCACATCTTATGCCTACATATCCTTACGGGAGTAGAATCAGAGTACTTGTAGTTCCCCTAAAGGGTTTGAGGAGTTCTTTGACTGTGGTCAAAGTTCCTACGGGTTTATGGTAGTTGATTGATTGATTTTAGGAGAAAAGATGAGTTGTCACTTTAAGGGAGATTTAACCGCCACAAGGTGTAGGAATGTAGTCTTTGCATCATCTTAAGAGAAGGGCTCAAGTACTCGGATATGGATCGACGAGGTACACCTTTATCTCTCTTAAGGCAAAGTTCCTACGATATTGATTGTATTGATGTGGGGTGGAGATTCTATCTCGCTTAAGATGATTTGACATCTATTTCTCTATTGTGTTTGAATATTTGTCGTTTTTGAGTTGAATTGTTTTGTTTGTTCTAAGTTGTAAAAGGGTCCTTCCTATGGGGTAGGATCTATCTTAATTGATCAACTTGAATGGGATCAAGGATCATGGGGAATATGATGCAAATGATGTGCACTACACACGATTGTTGAATCATGTGTAGGTTTTTCCTTTGGACGGAACGCGATGCGATAAAGTAAATTACGGTAATGTAAATTGCTGAAAGTAAATTGCGGAAATTTAAACCATACACATACGCATGAAAGCGCTTAGTGTGTGTGAGAGTGAATGTGTCGTGAATATGCACGATTAGGTTGTATTTTCGATGTTGATTGATTTTAAGCGGATTGCTTTTAGTCGGGATTTGATTTTAGGAGAATTGAATTGATTTTAAGCGAGGAGTTGTTTAGAAGTTATATTATTTTTGGTGAGATTGTTTTTAAGAGAAGTTATATTAATTTTGTGAAATTAAATTAGATTATATTTTAGGTTTTAAAATGAATAAGATTTTAACCACATAGAAGTTTTGAGAAAAAAGTTCATTATTTAAATATGATTTTTCTTATTATAAAAGATAAAAGTTATAAATTAGGAGATAAGGTTTTGATTATATTATCATGAAAGTTGTTAAGTTGTTGAGATAAATTAAAATAAATAAGATAAGTTGATTTATTAAAAGGTAAATAATTAAATAGAAAAGAAGATGGTTTAGTTAAATAATTTATAATTTAGAGATTAATTAATCAAATAAGTTTTATTAGGTCAAATTAATTAAATAAAAGAAAGGGCTGGTTTAAAAAAGATTAATTTAAATAAAAAGTTATTAGTTGGTTTAATTCAAAGAATTGTTTAGACAATGATTAATTTTAGGTTAATTCATTAAAAGGTTAAAACATTTATTAGTTCATTTTAGAGAGAATGGTTGATTAAAAAATTGATAGTGGTTAATTAATTAAGACAAAATTAAATTAACTGATTAAATTGGTTAATGGCGGATTAATGGTTTTAGGGTGGTTAATTAAAGGTTTAGTAAAAGGAGTGGGGCGAGGGTTCACGATAGGAACGTGTGTGTGTGTGTGCCACAGGGGATTACAAGTACAAACAAAATCAGAAAGAACCCTAATCCCCAAATTTTCCCAAATCCACCGTGATCTCCATTCCTCTCTTTTCTCAGTTCCTTTCTATCCATCTTTTTCGCTTCTCCATCATTCTCGTGAGTTCACCGTTTTCTTCTTCCTCCGTCTTCCAATCTATTTTCGATCCTGAAACATAAAAAACAGATCAAAAGCTTCAATATATATGACACAAACAGAGGGATTACCACGAGCTGTGGACGACGATGGCGAGTGCTTTAATGCGGACGGGGATCCGTCACGGTGGCTCTGTGGATTCGCGGACGGAAATGTTGTTCACGGCGGGATTCCAGCGATGGCGAAGGTTTAAGGGAGGATTTGTGGCGATTGCCGGTGAAGCTTAAGATAAGTTCTCATTTTCTTTTCACAAAATTGTTTAGAGTTTCATGATTTGGGATTATGATCTTTTGTGAAAAATGTGGTCCTCTCGATGATTTTGTGACTCCCTTTTATAGGCTCAAGGTGACTGCTATGAATGGAAGGATCTCGAAATGCAATAAAGAGGTTTCCTATTTGATTCAGACAAGGCTGAACAATTGTAACAAGGTTTGGATCTGTTTTTACTAGTCTTTAAGACTGCTTTGAATGGCATGTTCCTTCTCCTTTTACGAGTTCCTTTCTTTCTTAACATATTTTGATCTTGTTGGTTGGTTGATTCTGCTTGATTAGTTTTGAAGAAAAAATGAACTGATTTAATGAGCTTTCCCTTTTTGATTCTTCGGGTTGGATCGTGCGAGAAAGTGGAGTTTGAATCAAATTGTTTTCAAATATTTTCAACTTTATGAAATTCCTCTTCTAACGGATGGGCCCACCGTGAGGATAAAGTCAAAGAGCAGGAGGTGTCGTTCTGAGACGAACTTTGGGGAGCTTTTCATAGGTATGATGTTTTCAACTATCTATGTTTCGGGGAATCATAATTTCCATTTCATTTCACGCTTTCACTACTTTGAAATAGACACCGCCTAATCTTCTATTGAAGCATACTCTTGTTTTCTTTCAAAGCCTCTTGATGAGTTTGATTTCCTGACAACTTTACCTGTGCAACTTCACCATTAATGAGTCTTCGAGTATGGCGCTGGTGCGAACAAATGCGTGTTCGCGGGGCGTTTGTGTCCTTGAAGCAAACTTCAGGATGGACTTGGAATGCAGCAGGTATCCTTGTGAAGCCTTGTTTAGTTACAAGTAGTAGTGCTTATACAGGTCCAATTCGATTTGATCACGTTGGATGACGGTCTTGACAAAGCACTTAAACTAGTTACGCTTTACCTTTCCTGGATTTGATTACATTAATGTAATTGGTAGTGTTGGTTATCTGCAGTGAGCCTGGAAGCCGTAGTTTCATTTCAAGTCATACGGAAACAAAGAACGTGATTGCTAAACTCCCTCTCCCGCAGGGGTAATGCGACTAACTCTATCAGTGGCTTGTCGCTGCCTTCCTTCAAACTGGTCCTCAAGATCACTGTACTTTGCATTCCCAATTTTCCTACCGCACTTTGATTGTGATTGAACATCAGTTGTGACACTTACCTCTCCCACATGCTCAGTTTCATTTACTTTTGGTTCAAAAGCTTATAGGTGAAGAAACTTTCCCAACAGTCCCGCCAGGGATTTGTGATGGAGAATGCAACTTATCAATTGCCTTTTTAAGCTGCCTTATTCAAATCAGTCCTCAATAAACTCAAAGGGAATCAATGAAAATTCTTGTTCAGGTACATTTCCAAATGGTCTCCCTGCTGCATCGTCATCAAGCTCCTGGCCTTATTTGGAATCAAGCCGCTTACAAATTGGGAGTAGGACTCCGAAACAAAAGCTCTCGATGTCTCTCGTGCAAAAACAATCCATCAATCTTCCGTATCTCCTTCAACTCATCCCAACAACGGCGACAATGAGC